GGCCATGATCAGAACGGGAAGATTCCTTGGGACCTTGGCAGGTTTATAATTGAAGATCTTTGCGATATCGCCGGTTTTAAAGTCAAGATGCATCATGGACTTTGAATTTGGAGGAGGCTGTGCTGGTGCTGAGAATGCCATACCGTGTACTTGAATTTCAAGTCAAATACAATTTGACGAAGAGGATGACTGTCACGGATTATACAAATGAACTAGTTCAGATTAATGCATATCGCCTCACAATAGATCACCTCTCACCACCTTGAACCGTGAACACGATGTCGTCAAATGATCATCAGTGACACTACTTCCAAACATGTTCAAATTCGACGAGGAAAAACGTGGGATGTGAAACAACCTCAGTGCGTAAAAAGGCCAAGATACAGCGATTCTGATGTTGATATCCAACCTAGTCCGTACGTTTCGCTTATGACAGCCCGAGATATGGGAGCACAAAGTTTGAGGCTCGGTGGTAAACTGTTTCGTTTCCGCGGGTGCTACTGTTGTAATTATTGACGCTGTGTAAGTAAAGGAGGAGTGCAGTGGAACGGCGTGGGCTCATGAAGTTGGCTTTGGATATAGATAACAGGTAAATTAAAGATATCTTCTCCGCTTTTGTGATTTGATTCATAAACAAGTCTGAGCATATTCGATAACAGTGACACGAGGAAGTAGACGTTCATTGGAACTCAATGGCCTACATTCAATAGCTTGTGGTTAGGGAAGTGAAGAGCTGAAAGGCGGGCAAGAAATCATTGATATGGACAACCTATCAGTTTGACCAGTCTTGTAAGACCGGTACCGTAAAGAATTGAGGCTATTGCCATCTTGATCACCCATTCGACCTAGCATTCTAATAATCCTCCAATCCTGCCATCTCCATCTCCTTATTAGCTTTTTCCCATATTGCCAGTCCTCGTAAATCCACTCAAGCTGCTAGCAGTCAAGACTAGTCCGTCCTTCCCGTCTTGCATCTCCTGATCGTAATCGCACGATCCTCGGCAGCACGTCTCCCTTTTGTGTCACTCCGGGTTTCGACCGACCCTTACGCCACCAGACGGGAAGTGCTTATGAAACCCGCTTGGCTTTTAGTGAAGCGTGTGCCTCTCGTACCCCTATCTCCCGGTATTGGCATCTGATACGAAAGTGGCTTGCATGAAAGGGTGAGGTATGACGAGGGAGTGGATTGGTGGATTGGATTGAGTATGTTTTGAGGTAGCAGAGGAATGGGAAGGGGGTCGATGCTTGGATAATGTGCGAAGGGGATCGAAGGAACCCTGATTTTGTATGTTGACTCTTTGGGTGATTGCGATGTGTTGGCAGTCATACTTCACAGGATTTGGATAGATGATCAGTGTCATGCGCGGATGTCCAAGGCATCTGTCGAGGGCTCCTGCCATTGTTGGGCGCTATCAAAGCATGCAGGTTGCTGAGGGAAGGAAGCAATACCAGGACTCTATAGGTAGACCGGCTACTAGATTGCGGTGACCCCTTTTCGTGTCTTCGAACACCGTTCCCGATCCGGACAGAGAATGAGTGAGTGCCCGGTGAGCACTCAAACGGTTGACCACTGCGCCATTTGGCCAAGCGGTTGTTGTTGTTGGAAGGAGGAACCAACCAGGTCCCTTATATGCTTGGGTTTAAAGATCGGATGAAGGAACGACGGATGTAGCCGGGAGCGGGCGTGGCAGGCGCTGAAACTGGAAGGTACGATCCGGGAGCTGCAAACCGGACTCAGAGGTTGAGTAGTTGTGTTGAGGAAGTGCGCGCGTCATGGCAGAGATAGTTTTTTGCAATAGTCTTGACGGCGTTGCCGTTGACATGACGAAAAAAATAGTACTCAGTTTCCTCCAAGACCATGAACTTTGAATTCTCTGCGCATCGTGCTCCCGTTCTCCGCCCTGTGCGTATCTCCTTTCTCACTGAACTGACGAGGACGCCTCTTTTTCCCGTCCTGCTCGCCTCTCCCCGATGCTCGGTGGGGGAACTGACAGGCAAGCCCCCGTTGCCCCTTTTCCCCAACTGCGTCCGCCGATAACCGTTCGCTCTCCGACGGGGCTTCCAAACTGCCGCCGAAGCCAAAAGCCGTCGTTGATCCGAACCACTGCCCCGAATCCTCGGCCCAACGGTCCCAAAACCACCGATGGCTCCGACGGCGCCGGGCCTCGGCCATCACTCTCGAGACACTTGTCCTTTCCGTGCAATTCCTTCCATTTCCGCTGCGCGATTCCCCCAAGACCTGCCCGCTGCAAGATAAAGATACTGCTCGTGAGCTTGGGTGTGGCGAGCTGCACCTGCAACGAAGCTGCGCCATCAAGTTTCAAACTCGAAAGGGCGCAGATAACAGCCATGCCGAGGTTTGCTGAGGTTGCCGACCTTCTCGCCAGAGTCCAACTCCTGAAAATATCGGGCGCTGTTGTTGCTTGAAAAATGCGTTCTCGTACGCACTGCGTTCGGGCGTGCGTCGGGGGAGGCCCGGGACTGGAGAGGTGTGCATACAGACGGGCTTCCTGGAGATGTCGACAATCGAGCCTTGGTCATCCCCGTCAGATTGCCGTAGACAAGGCAGTGTTGGTGTTGAACTGTTTCATTCCCCCGCCCTCTCTCCATGCAGGCCAAATCTCGCATGTACGTTCTGGCTTCTCGTGACTCCTCGCGTTCTTCTCTGACTCACTGGCCACCAGAGCTGCGGACATTCTGGCCACATGTCAAAGTCAAGACTGGATAGTCCGGTTTCCGTCACCCTCTGCGAGCTAGCACTGTCATCGCGTATAGTAACCGTGGTGGCTTTGATGTGTATGTTTGTGAGTTTCTGTGACGGAAATCCCTTGTTTCTTTTGCATACGCCGTGTTGTCATTGACTGCCGTAGCTTGATGGCGCGATTCGTGTTGCCTCTTGGATCTGGACGCGGCTTCGAAGATGATGATACCGAGCAGCGAAGATGCACAGTAGAGAAGGGGTAAAAGGGGCGGGGCCATGGTGAGAGATGACGTTTGACACTGTTTCTTTAGAGTCATACACGAAGTGCTTTCCTGGATTATTTGTAGGAGTCTGCGTGTATGCGTGTATGCGCGCGCCGGTGGTGTGTGTGTGTGTGTGTGTGTGTATTTGGGGGGGGACTATTCAGGGTGACGCCCAGAGAAGTTGCTACGAAAGGATAGGAGGGGGAGCGCAAAGCATCAAGAAAAGGAGGGGACATGGGGGGTTTAAGTACACCATATATTCCCCGTCATGTGGATGGGCTAAACTCATAATTCATGTATGTTAGGGACTTGAAACCTGCTTCATGTGTTATCATCATATGCAAAGCGTCTGGCCTGCACGGCGTGCCGATATGTAAGGCTGAGCTAGATTCATCCGAGCCCCGGAAATCGAAATCAACAGGTACCTGCATCTTACAAAACATTGTACAGGTTCTGCATACTAAACTTCATCTAATGCTGACCATGCACAGAATTCATTTGCAATGCAAGTGGTGAGTGTCTTCCTCGACTTCCATCATCTCCCGATTTCCGGTGGCCCGGTACTCCCTCGAATCGTAGTACGGAAACTATCACCACCTTCTTCAAACATACCTCCAGTGCTTTGTTCACCAACAAGCAAGCGCCTCCTACTTGGGAGAAGCCGAAGCAGATCCCACATCAGGTACGCGGCAGCTCCGCTCAAGATTGGTACCGTGCCTTGAATGCACTGTAGGGGAGGAAACACTATCTAATTGCACCCCTCCCGACCAAGGGCGCCGGGTTTGTAGACATTGAGAGCGTTGTTCTGTGGCGTGGTCGAGAAGGGTTGAGGCTGTGAGCAAAGACTGCCGTGGGGTACCGTACATGTACAATTCCGGGGGATAGATTTTCAACTTCCAAGGCTTGCCTGACTGACGGAATCCATTTACGGGACGACGCCTTGGAGTTTGGGTTCATTTAAGAAGGGAATTCGAGCATATGCAATTGCAGAGGTGACTCGAGTGTACAGATGATGCCCGATTTCCAAGCAACTTGAAAATCTGTCCCCCAGAATTGTACGGTAGCTTCCGAGTTTGTTTTGAGCGGCATTGGTAATTTTCCGCTGGCAATTAAGCTGCAACTTCCATCTGCAAGACAGTCAGCAAAAGAAGTGCCAGGTTTTTTGCTTCGAAGTTAATCTTACAGGGGTGGAAGGTACAGGTAGGCAGGCGGTCATCATCGTTCTTGCCTTTCGAAGTCTTTCGCCTTTTGAGATCTCGGCCTAGTGCAAAAGATACCGTCTTCCGGGCCAGTTAGTTTTTAGACCATCGTGGGAAATTCCACCGTTGATCTTTAGGTAGTCGAACATGTCTACATCTGTAAAAGTCCAACTGCAATGCTGCGAACATCCATGCGGTGTATCTCAAATCGACGAAAATCTTAATCCCAAGGACAGAATTAATGAGCAAACTGACACTCAATCATATCGAGAGGACGTCGTATCGTCAATAATATACAAGATGCAGCCTCTGATAATATGAGGCGGAGCAAGACTTGATTCCCGAGTAGCATGCGTTGAGAGAGCTATTAGAAAACCTGCCCCCAATCTCGGAATCTGGACCGGATCGCCTACAGACGCAGCCTGGGTCTTGCAGCTAAGTCCGGTTGATGTGCATTATTTCGCCTTTCGAGCAAGTGCAGCTCCAAATCCGAGTCTCCGTTGCGAGTGTCTCACCAAAAGGAGGATACGTGGTGAATTACAAACATGCCTACACATATGCAGTTCTCGATCAGAACTTTTCTCATCGGGGTATGCATCCCGCCTCGATTTCCGACAGTTGACACAAAATACTTACATTAATCTTAGCAGTGAACATCGAGCTGTATGCACTCTAGTCTGGTGATGTTGGAAAGAAGAATAGTGTCCTTTTCCAAGAGCAACTCCTTATAAAGCCCCCTCTTTCCCGTCAAGTGTGCTCTCTTCTTGTCCTTCTCTCTATCATCGTCGTCTTATCAACAGACCACTTTCTACTACAACAACAACAACAACAACAACAATGACAACCGACTATCAACCACTCAATTATTTCGCTATTTCTCAATTTATCGTCGGAGACATCGCCTGTCTCAAGGACTACAATTGGGGAAGAACCGTCGAGGAAAAGCGTGAAATCTCGGGTCTGAACCCGGGACATAACATGGAGAAGGCTTCAAACCACCCGTGTATAGTCCTGAAGACAAACCGCAAGTACGCCCTTGTTACCACGGTCTCGGCCCACGGGTCGGGGCCGTATGATAACTGGCGGTCGCCCTGGACCAGGGGTGGCCACTACAGACAGCGCCGGGACCGTTATCGGTCCTTTCAAGGAACCGCGAGGTTCAACCTCAACCGGAAAAGCCTCCGTCTCGCGACCGGGGCTTGGCCGAAGCCTCGCGGTTCGTGGGTAAATGCCGAGCATGTCTTTCTCGTGCCCGTCTGGTTTTTGGGTGTCTTTAAGAAGGCCCAGAGCTATGACAGATACCAGAAGAAGCTTGTCAATGCCCACATGGCCGAAGACAGTTTAGATGACTTGCTTCAGCAAATCATCGAGGATAACTGGCAATGGACCAGGCTGCTCCAGGAGTTCGAGGAGCTCGGACGCCTAGAGCCGCTCCCTCCTCCCTCCCACCCTCCTGCGCCGGTGGCTCTTCCTCCCCGAGCTCCGGCAAAGGCATCTCCTCTTCCCCGACCGGCGACTACTACGAAGGCGTCCCCTCCTCCTGCGCTGACGAAGCCATTGCCTTCCCCTCGTAACTCAGTTAGCTGGGCCCAGGTGGCTAAGGGAAAGAAGAGATGAACATCTCTCTCACCAGTCGACCCGCCACATTGGTTGTATCTCTCTCTCTCTCACCAGCCGACCGCCACATCGCTTGCATCTCTCTCTCTCTCACTAGCTGACCCGTCACATTGGTTGGCTGAAGAAGCAGAAACGGAGTTGCCTAGCTACCGCCAGGTTCAACTCCAGTCCATCTCGGGCCCTTCTTCAAA